TCGGTATATTCTATAACTACATTTCTTGTATCACTCATACTACTTATACCTAAGCTTCCAAATTTGGTAATCCTCTTTATAGGAAGGCTTCGTAGCCTTATTAGACTACTTTCAATCTTGGTTAACGTTAGTTAGTCCGTTTAGATGAGTTCTACTAGTAGACTCCATACTACTCAGCTTAAGCTTCTGTTCTTAACGCCTAGTTTTTAGTTAGTATACTTGCTAATCTCATTACCACATTGGGTAGATACTCCTGTGTATTGGTACGAGCTTGCTATGTTGCATTACAAGTTATCTCATAACTTTCAGATAGCAGATTTTCGTATTACTTCTCTTCTATGTACTGATGGATTAGGTATCTGTCTAGTGTATAGTATTCTGTGACCGATGTTTTTTAGATTACAAGGTGCTAGGGGTATAGATCTAGTTTTGGCTTGCAGTCTGTAATACTTCTAATTTTAGTGTTTGGTGTTCTTTTTATACTTTTATCTATTTCTGGTATACAAGCTTTATTTGTACTATTGTACCACTAGCCTAGTGAATCTAGCTATTTCAAGTTATTACCGTGTACCCGAGTTTCAGCCCACTTTTCTCTGTCATTATAGAATTTCTCTAATAGGCCAAGTGGCTTGGAGTCAGAGGTGCTTCCAATTCCAGTTAGGCTAATCCTTTTCTACAGGTCATCCTTGTGTTCTCTACTTTTCTTACTACTCAAGTTATATTACCGTTGTATCATCCTCTCAAGCAAGTACCCCACAAGTTAGATATAGAGATGTTGATGCTACCCCAGTCACCCTTGTCAAGGACTTATATGTGCGATCTTTGTATAACAGAACCTTCTATGACTTAGCATCATACATAGTGCCACCACTCTACAATTAGACCTTTTTCCAGGAATTCTCTTTTTCAGTTTCGTATTTGCACTTGGACTTAACCACAGGGCTTCACATTCGATTTGGCCCTCTTCTGGGTTACAGAAGCGAAAAATCCTAAGATTTTTGCCTCCAACCCGATTCAAACCGTTGACCTAGTTTGTAGAGGTTTGGCAGCTTAACTACTAAGCTATGAGGCCCAAACCCTGTTATGTACATTTTTATATACCTATATCTTGCTATAATGCTATGAACTTTCAGGTTAAATATCGGGATAATAAAAGAGTTAAAAAAAGAATATCGTTATATATATTTTTATACACCTATATGTTGCTATAATGCTATAAACTTGCAAGTTGAATATCAGGATAATAAAAGAGTTAAAAAAAGAATATCATTATATATATTTTTTAAATATCTATCTCTTAAACCGTCCGGGTTTAGCGGACAAATTTGCCTGCTAGAATAATTAGTAAAAAGATAAACCTTAAATAAAATTTTTTTATTGAAAGATGAATTAAAATTGGCTAGAGTAACTCACGGGAACCCAGATCATGTGATTGTGCAACTATTACATCATTGCACATATCATGTGATGAAAACGAAAGGTGTAAACTCAAATTACCCAGAAAATGGTGCGTTTTTATTAAAGTGTATTTTGTCAGGTCAAAGCTTCTAGATCGCTTTGAAAATTTAAATATAAGTAGTACAGACT